CCCCACATCAGCTCCATGGAGTCTGTTTCAGATTCTCTCCCTCCTTCTCCTTCTCCGACCTCCCCCCAACTCTCTCTCCCTCTCTCTTGCAAATATATTAATTAAATCTTTAATCTTTAAAAAAAGATTGATTTTTTAAAAAACTCCTTATAAATTTTATCAAACTTATCTCAGCAGTATAATAAAAGAATAACCATCTTTTTTTAAGATTTTATTTATTTATTTGACAGAGATCACAAGTAGGCAGAGAGGGAGGCAGAGAGAGAGGGAGAAGCAGGCTTCCCACTGAGCAGAGCCCAACGCAGGGCTGGATCCCAGGACCCCAGGATCATGACCTAAGCGGAAGGCAGAGGCTTAAACCACTGAGCGACCCAGACGCCCCAAGAATAACCACCTTTTTAAACCGAGGAAGAGTTTACTTAGTAAGGTAAAGGTGATTCAAAATTAAGAAATTCATTAATTTACTTCATTCACTATTCAAAGAAGAAGATTCATATTCTTAATAGATTCATATTCTCAAGAGATTTTTTAACTGATAAAATTCAACATTTTAAAAACTTTAAAGAAGATTTTCAAACATTTTTAAGTGTACAGTGGAAGGGGGCACCTGGGAGCTCAGTCGATTAAACATCCAACTCCTGATTTTAGCTCAGGTGCCTAGCATGCCTAGCATGGAGCTTAAGATTCTCTCTCCTTCCCCTTAGCTTGTGCCCTTGCTATCAGAAAAAAAAAAAAAAAATTGTAGAGAGGAGGTATAACAAAGTCCATGTGTTAATGACACAACTTCAACAATTATCAACATTTTGCTAATATTTAATATTCAGCTTTTATTAACATTTTTTGCCTTTTCTCATGCTCTCCTATTCCACCATGGCTCAGTAGGGCATAAATCATCAAGACTAACTACTCTGTCCACTGAACACTCTAGCACCTAGTAACTGAGTAAAAACCATTTCTATTCATTTAAAAAGCTTGGAAATGAGAGGAGATAGGTTGCTTGTAGATTTTATAGGAATAGCATATATTTATTGTTTACCCAAAGTTTTAAATAATTCAAGATGTCAATGTTACTGAACCACGTGTAAGGTTTCCAAGAAACCATACAAGAAATTCTAATGTTGAACAGAAGAAAAATTAAATAGATTATGAAGCTAAGTTGAAACTCTATAAAGATGAATTGAAACATGAAACACTGAGAAAAGAAAGGAGGAATTTTAAGTGAAAAAAAAATGGCTAACAACCATGTCTAGTCCAAGAAATACCAAAAGAACATAATCATCAAGCATTATTCAATGTGGAAGAGCAAACTAGAAACATCGCAACTGTATACAGTGCTGTAAATTTTAATACAATCACAGCCACATGCACCTCACCTGATAAAAGACTTCTGTGTTCAAAAGAAGAAAATGGGGCGCCTGGGTGGCTCAGTGGGTTAAGCCCCTGCCTTTGGCTCAGGTCATGATCCCGAGGTCTTGGGATCGAGCCCCACATCAGGCTGTCTGCTCAGCGGGGAACCTGCTTCCCCCCTCTCTCTGCCTGCCTCTCTGCCTACTTGTGATCTCTGTCTGTCAAATAAATAAATAAAATCTAAAAAGAAAAAGACAATGCCATATATATATATATATATATATATATATATATATATATATTTCCTTCAGGAACCATCAGTAAGGTATAAGGCCAGCAACAGGTGCAAGGATGAGCAAATTGTGTTCATCTAGACAATGGAATGCTGCTCAGAAATTTAAAAAAGGGATAAAGGATTGATACACATAACCATCATGAAATAATCATGCTGAGTGAAGGAAGCCAAACAAAAAAGATCCCATTTGTATAAAATTCTTAACAAATGCAAATTAACATAGGGTGGGAGAAAGTAGATCAGTGATGGTTGAGAGCAGGCAAGAGGAGAGAGGGGCCTGATGGAGGGATTCCCAAGGGGTGTGAGGAAGCTTGCGGTTCATGATGTGCTTATGATTGTAGTAGTAGCTCACAGGTATGTACATGCTAAAGCATACCAAAGTATACCCTTTAAGCAGTATGTGCAGACTGTATGTTTCTTGCATCTCAATAGAGCTGTTTGAAAAATGTGTAAGAATAGACTTGGATGTCATTTGTCTTTGATTTCTGAAGGCTGTTAGTCATGAGCAACCCCATGACATTCTCTCAGAGTTTGCTCACTAAATCATTAAGTCTTCCCAGGATTTACAGACATGAGGTGTATACAAGCAAATAAAATATGTTAACTAAAAAGATAAGCGGAGGGGGGAATGACTCCTGGGTGGCTCAGTCAGTTGGGCAACTGACTCTTGGTTTTGGTCCAGGTCATGATCCCAGTGCCCTGGGATCGAGCCCTGCATCAGACTCCACGCTGAACTCGAGTCAGCTTGAGGTTCTCTTTCCTGCGCCTTCTGCCACCCCCACCCCCACTCACACTCTCTCTCGGCAAAATAAATAAATAAGATTAGGAGGCACAGCTTATTCTGTGCTGTGTAATTAACAGAAAAAATATGCTTAGCTCTGTAAAATTATCTTCTCCCAGAAACCTCCAGCACATATTCCACATATGGGCAAAGTGCCATCGAGTCTTCTTGTTAAAGTCATGAAGAAGTGAAAGGTACCTAAAAGTACTGCTACTTTTCGATATTTATGTGGCCAGTGAAATTAGACCAAGGAGAGGAAGGATCTTGGACTTGGAAAGGTATAGAAAGTAAACAGACAGGTGTAACTATTTATAGACTCTATGATCATCCACCTAGAAAACCAAAGAGGATCAGCAGAAGGACTACTAGAATTAATTAAAGAATTCAACGGGGAGGCCAGATACAGTACCCTTAGCCTTCCTATACACTAAAATAACTACTTAAAACCTTGAAGCGGGGAAGTATTTACAACAGCAACAAAAACGAATCTATAAAATACTTAGAAATAAATCTATCAAAAATATGCAAGACCTGTTTGAGGAAAGTCTTTAGAATCTACAGAGAGGCAGGCTCTCGATGAACACATAGTTCATGTACTGATTGGGAAAACCCAGTGTTGTAAAGACGTTGGAAGAGTAGTCCCTTGAAACCCATTGACGTTACCACGTTATAATCCTTCCTTCTGGGAAGCTGTTGGGATTTTTTTTTTTCTTTTTAATGAGGCAAGTTGCATCAGTATTTCCTAGAAAATAATTAGCTGGGCTATCTCCTGCTCCCAGCACCTCTGTTTAGAGCCTGTGCTGGCTTGTCCTTGTCCCTCAGTGTCCTGAATGAAGGGAAACCATTGTCAGTCTCTCTCTGCTACAATGCCAAGATGCCTGGAGGAGCCCCAGGTTTCTACCCCAGGGGCATTAAAAGGGGCTTGTCTCCTCATGGTGCCCATAAAACGTGGCTGTGAGCTGGACAAATGTCTCTGTCTCCACCCTTTGAACAAGCGAGCCACCCCAGTGCAGGCATCCTGGACTGATCGGGCTGGGCACTGTGGTTGGGTGTTGTGAGCGTTGTTCCGGCTGTGGATGGAAGGATGGTAGACACTTGACTGTGTCTCTCTTGCAGTCCTGGAACTACCTCCTGGGATAATTAAAAGAGCTACTCCAGAAGGGTCGCCCTGATTTGGCAGGTACTCAAACTGATGTCATTTCTCATAAATTTTCTGGACCTTGAAAAGCTGATTGCAAAATTCAGCTGGATGAGAAAACAGACACAAACAGCCAATACCAATTTTTTTAGATTTGTTTAGAGAACTTTGCCTACCCAATATAAACACATATATGAAAACTATGATCATTAAAGCAAAGTCCAGGGACACCTGGGAGGCTCAGTCCGTTAACCATCTGCCTTTGGCTCAGGTCAGGATCCCAGGGTCCTGGGATCCAGCCCTGCATCGGCTCCTGGCTCAGCGGGGAGTCTGCTTCTCCCTTTCTGCCTCCCACTCCCTGCACTCATTCTCTCTCTCTGACAAATAAATAAAATCTTAAAAAAAAAAAAGTCCAATAGACTATAAGAATCGGTAATAGTAGGAAGAGATAAATCTAGTGTTGGAACAGAAGAACACATCCAGAATTTAATCCCAAAATCCCATCTAAGGTTCTTTAATGTGGCTTTGGTATTTTTTGCTTTTACTTCACCAACATTTGAATGACAGCATCAAATGGAAAAGTTCACTTGGCAATTTCTCATTCTTACATTGCTTTTATGCTTCTCTCTTGTGGTCCTCAGGAAAAGGACAGGTTGAAGGACATAGACCTTGTTTGCAATGGCATACTGTCCACTGAAGTAGGCCAGTGGCAGGGGGCCGGGGGTGCTCCTGCAGAAGGCAGGACTGGAGCAGAGCTTCGGTCCCTAGCCCTCCCTTGCTTCCTGGGACTAACTGAGCAAAAACTAAGTAGCAGGCAGGGTCTAGATGCTTTGCACATATCGCAGTGGAGTATCTTCTTCAAAGTTTCACAGCTTGTTAAGACTTGAACCTGTCAGTAGGGTCTCAGAAGCCGGTGGCCTCCCAGGACTTCCATCCTCCCTCTTGGGATGTTTCCTCTCACAGCCTCGTTAACATGCCTGCCATCTTGGCCTGGCTTCCTCCCATATGCATGCTCTGGTCCACAGTGCTCACACCGTCATGCCTTGTGGGCATCCTTAACTCAGCTGTCACCTGGGACTGCTCCCTGGCAGTTGAGCCCAGAAGGGACATCAAAAGGGACATTTGAGGGCTGCAAAATGCCCTCATCATAGCCGTCACCATGATGGCCTCATGTAGGTGAGGTCAGTGTTTGAGTCCTCTCCTGACCTGGAACTGCCTTAGAATAGGGACCCCTGCACTCGCCCCTTTATTCACAGTGCTTGGCAGATGCCAGGCATGAGATGTTGGCTATAGAAATGAATGATAAGCACCAAATTTTGCCAGAATTCTCAGAAATGACTTGGAGAGAGTCATAATTGTGTCTTCTCTGCGATCCAGACAACTGACTCTCTGGCTTTGTGTGGTGGTAATGGGCTCCCCTTTTGCTTGCCCTGTTGCAGCCCATGAGATCTGAGCGGACGGAGATGCGGAAACGGCAGATGCCTGCACCCCAGGAGACCACCGGCTCCATGCCAGACCAGCCCGGAGCAGGGGACCGCGGGTCCAACGCCTGCTGCTTTTGCTGGTGCTGCTGCTGCAGCTGTTCCTGGTAAGGTTGGGGCTTTTCTCAGTCCTGCCCTCCTGACTAGCAGAGGGCACCCTGGAGTAGTGCCAGCTTGTGATTAACTCAATACATGTTTTTCATTTTATTTTTTAAAATATTTATTTATTAGAGAGAGAGAGAGCGAGCATGAGTAGGAGGGGTAAAGGGAGGAGGAGAGGGAACCTCAAGCAGACTCCATGCTGAGTGTGGAGCCCAGCATGGGACTCGGACTCCCAACCCTGAGTTCATGACATGAGCCAAAACCAAGAGTTGGATGCTGAAATGACTGAGCCACCCAGATGCCCCATGCATGTTTTTTAAATGACTACTATATGCTTAACACTGATTTGGATCTGTGAAGTACAACAGCAAATACACACACACACGCGCGCGCACACGCACACACACACGAGGGGCTCTGTATTCCAGCTCTCAAGGGACTTCTATTCAAATCCCTGGCATCATGTTTGTGTGTTAAACAACTAAAGAAGAGTCCACGGCCATTCGCGATCGAATATTAATATTTGGGCAGAAACAATTACTTAGATGGTTAGAAAGGAGTGAACTCAAGGCAGCCTACTTGGTAATAAAGGCTTTGTAGAGGACATAGAATTTAAGGTGGGTCTTAAATATTGAAGTAAAGTGGAGGGCGCCTGGATTTGACCTTCAGCTTTGCTTTTATTAGTTTCATGTTTTCATAAAGAGAAATGTCAAAATATATTCTTAACTGAAGAATATAAAATGATAGGGTAACTTACTAGTACAGGAAGATACATAATCTTTGCTTCAAAAGAGAGATACACAACTTGAACGGAAGATATCCTTGACCCCTTGAGTCACTGTCAAAGGTCTGGAGAAATGTATAGCGTTTACATCATAAGAACATTAGGTGGCATTTCTGAAATCTTGGTTACGGAAAGTGCTTAGTGCCTCCCAAATGTGTGCCTGACTTTAGGCAATTAAGTTATTGTATATTTATGTAGGCTTGACCACAAGTTGGACCAAGACCTCACTCCAAAGTAGAGAAGACGACAAGGTGATAGTGCTATCAAGAACAGTGACAGGACTGTTAGAATGGGGGTGAGGCAGGTGGAGACTGACATGAAATGTCCAAGAAAATTTGGTCTCTTGCTTGATTTGATCTACTGTTAACTTCCAGGAAGTTCCAGTCTGGTGGACGAGACCCAGCAATACAACACTGACAACTGATGGAGTCCTGATGGTGGGTGGTTGCCCTGTTCAGAGAAAAACCCCAGGTGGCAAGTGGGAATATGAGGGACATGGGGCTGGCAGGAGGCAAGTGGTCTGGCACTCCAGGCAAGGCTTCAGTCCCAAGTAGGAACATAGAGGACTCAGCAGGAAGCCAGAGGAGAACCCTGTGTGGGTACACCTTACACATGTGGGTGTCCAGGATCCACTGTAGACCAGGAGGATATCCACCAGGGATGACAGGATTTCATTTTGGCCCCTCTTCCAGTCCTTCACTCCACTAAGCAGTTTCTGTGAGATGATCAGAGATGATTGTGTGAGAAATGGGCAGAGATATCCTAGTGCTGGGAAGACACCTGTTGACCCAGTCACCCTTCCTTCTCTGGTACCTCAGAGAGACGTAAGAGGCTGAGATTGTGTCCTGAACAATGTACGGGACTGACAGTGTGAGCATAGCAGGTGGTGGCATGCTGTTCCAGAGCAGGCTCCTCCTACTGGCACCAACTGTGGTGACTAAATCATGGAGCTGTGCTTAGACATCATCATCCTAGCCAACACTTCTGCAGCACATATTGTGTGTGTACTTAACAGACAACAGAGCAATGGAAAACAATGTTGAATTGTTATATTGTACACTGAAACTAATATAACACTGTTATGTTCATTATACTTCAATTAAAAGAATACAATAGAGCAATATCTTCAAAGAACTGGAGAAAAGTAATGGAAAACTAAGTCAAACTATAATTCAAGGGCAGGAGTAAAACAAGACATTTTTAGACATCCAAAGGCCAAGAGAGCTAACTGTCTTCAGACCTTCCCTAAAAGAAAGGGTGTACTTGAGGAAGAAAAAATGAAGCATTAATCTTATTGAGAAAAATTGAAAATGTCCTTAAAATTCATGAACAGAGAATGGATAAATTTATTGCAGTGTAGTTATGCAATGCAATAGCAAATAGCATTTAAATGTATGTGCTGGAGGGGAAAAAAATTGTGGGGTGCCTGGGTGGCTCAGTCAGGCGTCCAACTGTTGATTTTGGCTTAGGTCATGATCTCAGTGTTGTGGGATTGAACCCCACATCGGGCTCCATGCTCAGTGTGGGAGTCTGCTTGGAATTCTTCCTCCCCTTTCCCTCTGCCCCTTCCCGCCCCTCTCTCTCAAATATATAAACAAATAAATAAAATCTTCCAAAAAAAAAAAAAAGTACGCAGCAAACTTTAACTGTTTCAGTGTTTACTCTCCTTGATTTTCTTTTTCTCAGCATGCTTTTAAGACTTATCCGTGTTGATAATACATAACAGAGACAATTTTTTTTAATTTTATTTATTTATTTGACAGAGAGAGAGATCACAAGTAGGCAGAGAGGCAGGCAGAGAGAGAGGAAGGGAAGCAGGCTCCCTGCTGAGCAGATAGCCCGATGTGGGGCTCCATCCCAGGACCCTGGGATCATGACCTGAGCCGAAGGCAGAGGTTTTAACCCACTGAGCCGCCCAGGCGCCCCAAGACAATTTTTAAGAAAAGAAAAAGGCAATGTGTTTTCTAAACCCTTGTATTATCTTTCTCAAAATTCTGCTTCATGGCCTTCTGGCATTTCATTTTATCAAAGAAGTCATGCAGGTGCTTGATTTCTTTAAACTTTTTTTCCTTTCTAGAAGATTGAAGAATTTTTTCCTCTTTGTAGCTCAGAAATTTACCAAAATATACCTAACCATGGGGCTCCTTTTACTGAATGGCTCTTAAACATAGTGAACAACTATTGTGGCTTCCAGCAATGTTTTCTTGTTCTACTGTAACAATAACAATACACTTGGGTTAAAAGCTTGACACAAAATATATTTTTCACTTTTTTAAGAACAGAGTATCTCATTGAGAAATATTCCTACTTTTAAAAAATAAGACATGGAAAACATGTCAAAGCTTAAATAAAGATTGCATTGTTTAATTCACAATGTAACTTCCAGTTCTCTTAGAAATCTTGTTTCAAATTCATCCTTTCTGTTTCGCTTTGATTTTTCATACCCATTGTGTATTGATGTTTCTGCTTATAAAAGAAGCCTAAGAAGTCAAGCAGTATTTACCCTCCTACAGTGAGAACACCCTACAGATGCCTCTTAAGTTTGTTTTTGTTTCAAGAAACCATTATTTACTGAAACTGGCATCATGAAAGCAACAAGTCAGAAGAGTTCCTGCATTTCTAATGACTTTGCATTAACGAAAAACAGCTGCATGTGCACACACACAATTACTGAAAATCCATAAAGCAAACGTGCTAAAACTAGGCTGAATGACTCTTATAAAATGGTGGAAAGAGTGGAAAGGAAAGATATAATAAAAGGAATAGAAAAGAGTATAGGAACAATAGTCAGATAAAGCAAACTCAGTATATCCAATAGTAAAAATCCATTTTGAAATTAATGGGGAACTAAAAGCATTTCTCCTGAAAACAAGAACAAGACAAGGATGTCTATGCTCTCCCCTATGGTTTAACATTGCACTAGCTATCACTTGGTGCAGCTGGACAAGAGAAAACAACCGTAAGATTCAGAAGAGAAGTGGTAAGACTCTCCCTACCTGCAGAACATATGAGAGTATACCTGGAAATCCCAAGGGAACAGTCGCTAAATTAATGCAAATACACAAGAATTCAATATGAAGAAAGATATAATACTAGTGTAAAAAAAGAATAGTCTTCAGAATATAAAGAACTCTTACAATTCAGAAATAAAAAGACAAACCAGTTTATAAGTAGGCAAAAGAGGGGCACCTGGATGGCTCAGTCAGTTGAGCATCTTGACTCTTGATTTTGGCTCAGGTCATGATCTCAGCATTTTAAGATCAAGCCACGAGTTGGGCTCTGTGCTTAGTGGGGAGTCTGCTTAAGATCCTCTCTCCCGGGGCGCCTGGGTGGCTCAGTGGGTTAAGCCACTGCCTTCGGCTCAGGTCATGATCTCAAGGTCCTGGGATCGAGTCCCGCATCAGGCTCTCTGCTCAGCGGGGAGCCTGCTTCCCTCTCTCTCTCTCTCTGCCTGCCTCTCTGTCTACCTGTGATCTCTCTCTGTCAAATCAATAAATAAAATATTTAAAAAAAAAAAAAAAAAAAAAAAAGATCCTCTCTCCCTCTGTCCCTGCCCACCCCTGCTCTCGCTCTCTCTCTCAAATAAATAGGTAAATCTCTTTTTTTTTATTTTTAAGACATTTCAGGGCACCTGGGTGGATCAGTCAGTTAAGTGTCTGCCTTTGGCTCAGGTCGTGATCCAGTGTCCTGGGATCAAGCCCCAAGTCACATTAGGCTCCCTGCTCAGTGGAGAGCCTGCTTCTCTCTCTCTTCCCTGCCTGTGCTCTCTCTTGCTATCTGTGTCTCTCTCAAATAAATAAATAAAATACTTTAAAAATTAAAAAATTTAAAGACGTTTAAATTAAATTAAATTAAATTAAATTTTAAAAAAAATATGGGGGCACCTGCATGGCTCAGGCAGTTAAGCATCTGCCTTCAGCTGAGGTCATGATCCCAGGGAGCCTGTTTCTCCTTCACTCTGCCTACTGCCCCCCCCTGCTTATTCTGTCAAATAAATAAATAAAATCTTTAAAAGGGGGGGCGGTCGTAGGGGACAGGGAGGGAAAAATGAAACAAGATGGGATCGGGAGGGAGACAAACCATAAGAGACTCTTATTCTCACAAAACAAACTGGGGGTTGCTGGAGGGGAGGGGGATGGAAGGATGGGGTTGCTGGGGGATGGACATTGGGAAGGGTATGTGCTATGGTGTGTGCTGTGAAATGTATAAACCTGATGATTCATAGACCTGTACCCCTGGGGCAAATAATACATTATATGTTAATAATAAATAATAAATAATAAATAAATAAATAACATATTGTGACGTTGAAACATTAAAAAAAGTAATAATAAATAAATATAAAAGTAGGCAAAAGATCTGAGTGGACAGGTCTCCAAAGAACACATATAAAGAGCGAATAAACACATGAAAAACTATTTCATCTCATCAGCCATTAGCAAAATGCAAGTTAAAAGCACAATGAGATACTACCGCCTACCCCCTGAGATGGTAAGAATCAGAAAGACAGACACAAGTGTAGACAAGGATGTCGAGAAACTGAGTCTGCCAGCATTCCTGGTAGGAAGATAACATGGCATGACTGCTTTGAAAAACAGTGTGCGACCTCCTCAAAATGTTAAAAATAGAGTTATCATAGGAAAGCATTTCCACTCTGAAGTGTCTACCCAAGAGAAATAAAAACAAACGTCCACAGAAAAAAACTAGTACATGACTGTGCACAGCAGAATTATTTGTAAATAGCCAAAGAGTGCAAATAACCTAAATGTTCAGCAGCTGATGGATGGATAACAAAGTGTCACATATCCACACTAGGGAATGTTATTAAGCTGCAAAAAGTGATGAAGTACGGATATACCCACTACAACATGAATGAAACGTAAAACCATGATGCCAGGTGACAGAAGGCAGCCACCGAAGACCACGTGCTCTAGCATTCAGAAGAAGCGTGTCTATAGAGACAGGAAGTCCATTAGCATGTTTCTGGGGCAGGAGGACGTGGGATATAGGGGTGATGGGGAGGAGCTGCTCTTCAGGCCTTCCTTTCAGAGTGATGAAAACGTTCTGAAGTTAGATTGTAGTGATGGTTGTACAACCCTGTGATTATGCTACCAACCACTAAATTGTACACTTTAAACAGGTAACTTCCTGATGTATAAATAATGCTCAATAAAGTAATAGCCTTGATAAATACAAACAGGAACCAGTTAGGAGATGAGATGAAAACTGCATTTGCAATAACAACACAAACACTTGGAATAAGTGTACAAAGAGATGTATAAGATGTATACAAGGAAATTTAAAGTCTCCTGAAAAATACAATAAGTTTTGTTTGTATGCTTTCCTCTAACACTTTTTCCAAGTATACCTATAAATATTTAAAACCTCCATTTTGGATTGGAAACACAAACACATTTTGCCTAGAGAATGTACACTTTTTTTCAAGGTGCAGAAATGAGATGAAAACCCAAAACATCCCTGATAACCTGACCTTTTTATTACTTTCTAATGGACATGTTTTTATGAAAATTACTATTAATGAGGGTGCCTGGGTGGCTCGGTCATTAAGCGTCTACCTTTGGCTCAGGTCATGATCCCAGGGTCCTGGGGTTGAGCCCCACATCAGGCTCCCTGCTCAGCAGGGAGGCTGCTTCTCCCTCTGCCTGATGCTTCCCCTGTTTTTGTTCTTTCACTCTGTCAAATACATAAAATCTTAAAAAAAAAAAAAAAAGAACTATTAATTTAAATGTAAACTCTCCCTCAACTAGTGTAGACCATAATATTATAATTTATTCTGTTAATATTTTAGCATCATATTTCTGGTTTCTTTTTATTTTTACTATTATTTATTTATTTGAGAGAGAGTGAGCACAAGTGGGGGGCAGAGGCAGAGAGGGAGAAGCAGGCTCCCTGCTGAGCAGGCAGCACAACAGGGCTCCATCACAGGACCCCGAGATAATGACCTGAGTTGAAGGCAGATGCTTAACCAACTGAGTCACCCAGGATCCCTACTTTCGGTTTTAAGAAAACCAGTCAGGGTCAATTTTTTTCAAGAAAAGAAAGAAATTCTACGTGGTGATCTGGAGTTCCCTTTAAAATATTCCTCGATGCAGAATGATCTCAACTGACATGGAAATGTCTTGTTTCATGCAGTCTTACTGTTAGAAACCAAGAAGAACAGAGACCCAGGAGGCCCTCCCATGAACTCAGAAGAGAAGACCTTCCAACCTGTGAAGAAAGGTAAATCTCATTATTGTTTAGCTCACTAAACTGACAAAAATGCCAGCTTTATTGTTTTGATTTTTTTCGGCATTGTAACAGTTTCTCTAACTGCAATTTAATAATATCAAATCACAATTTCCACTCTGCAGAGTTCATTGTGTGACAGGGAGAAAAATTAGTTCCATATTAAGTTCATCCCTGCTAATCACAAATACAAATCGATGCTTCTTGACAAAATGTGACATTATCCTATTTTCATCTGATAGACTTTTTAAAATAAGAGACCATAGTGAAACATATATGTTTGATTTTCAGAAAAGTTTTAAAAGTCCATTTTTTTCTTAACTATTAAGTTTATACTCTGGCTAATGTAATACTGTCTTCATTTTAGTATTTTGAAAAAAAAAGTTGGGAAGAAAACACATAAAATTACTTTCCATAATATCAGATTTTAAAATTATCTCTTTTTGTCCTGTATTATTAATTGGCTTACTTTCACTTAGCCATTCTAATACCTTTTCTTGATATTATACCTATATTATCACATATACTAGACATATATCCTAAAAGCATTGTTCAAATACATCTTGTATTAAATTGCTTATTTTTGAGAGGAAAAAAACAAGTAGACTAAAAGGTTACTTAAGTGTTTCTTTTTCATTCTTTATCTTATTTATCCTTACCCAGATTTTTCAAAGTCTGGGAAACATATTAAAATCTTATTTATCCTTACCCAGATTTTTCAAAGTCTGGGAAACATATTAAAATCTTCCACAGTCTGGGGCACCTGGCATGCTCTGGAGGAGCATAAGACTCTTGATCATCGTGAGTTCAAACCCCATGTTGGGTATAGAGATTTCTAAAAAAAAATAAGTAAAAACTTTTGAAAAATATTCCACAATTTATGAGTTTGTTTAAAAATAACTTTTATCAAGGGACATCTGGGTGGCTCAGTGGGTTAAGCTCAGGTCATGGTCTCAGGGTCCTGGGATTGAACCCCACATCATCGGGCTCCCTGCTCAGTGGGGAGCCTGCTTCTCCCTCTGCTCCTCCCCCCACTTGTGGCACTCTCTCTCTTTCTCTCTCTCTCTCTCAAATAAATAAATAAAAAGTATTCTAAATAACTTTTATCTTGAGGCATCTGGCTAGCTCAACTGGAAAAGCATGCAACTCTTGATCTCAGGGTTCGGGAGTTCAAGTCCCATGTTGGGTGTAGATTACTAAAAAAATAAACTTTTTTTAAAATGGCTTTTATTTTATATATTCTGTTATGTTGTATTCTGTACCAAAGCTTTGAGGCTTTTATATCTGGAACCAGAATGCCTCGTTGAGGCCTGACTCTATCCATCCTGACAGTGGGACCTTAGGCACTTTACTGAGAAGCCACACTCTGCCTCAGTTTCCTTGTATGTAAAATGGGGATCACAGTTTGCTGTTGGCTATTGTGAGCCTGGCAAGCATTCAATATATGTTGGCCATTATTTGTTCTCAGTCAAATTCCAGAATATGAAATGACTTTATCCAACATAGTGCTTTTCGTTTCCAATTCTACTTAGATATTAATATTATTCTTATTGCATTTACCTCATATATCTTTGCCTATTTGTTCTTAACTTTTGTAATATTTTGTATGATTTGTATGATTGCTGAAAATAGCATTATGTTAGATTTTGGTCCCATAGCAGTCTGTCTCTAAATGGGGAATTAGAATTCAATGACATTGGGTCAGTTATTTTGATGACTGGTAAATTTAATCTTCTAGCATATTCTTTGATTCCTTGTAATACCTCTTAATTACTTCCTTAATTTTGTTTGGTTTTGGTTTTTGCTATTTGAACTGTGCCTTCTTTGCTTTTAGGTCCTTCAGTAATGCATATTGCTTTCTCTTATTTTAAATATTTTTATCTATTTGTTTGTTCCTGTGTGTTTGTTTTTAAGTAGGCTCCACACCAAATGTAGAGCTTGAACTCACAACCCTGAGATCAAGAGTTGCATGCAGTACGGACTGAGCCAGCCAGGCACCTCTGCTCTCTCTTATTTTTAAAAAAAATGTACTAGCAATTGCCTTTAAGTTTTTCAGAATCATCCTTTAATATGTATTTCTTAAAACTGACAGGAATAAAAAAGTATCTTTTGACTCCTCATATTTAAGGAACATAATTTAGGATACTTAGCCACACCAATTTAACTTTCTGAAAAAAATCCAAGATTTTTATGTAGATTACTTTAAGTTACTATTTTTAAATTATGTTTTCAACATCTTTTAAAACATTTTCTTTCAAAACTAATTTCCCTAAGTATAAAGGATACTTTGTTTCCATACACAATGCTTTTTTACATGATAAAAAGTCTACCCACTATAAAAATAAAACCCAAACACTACAAAAGTTTTGCAATAAAAACTCAGTCTTCCTTTTTTTCTAGACCTTGTCCCAATCTCCAGATATAACTGCCATCATGGGTTTTTTTTTAATATGTCTTCAAAGGAATTTTCTATGCATTCACACATAGTTGAACAGAAATGGGATCCAACTATACACAATGAAGCTAATTTGGAAACTAAACTTGAAACTATTGTTTCAATATCCTTTTTGGGGGGTCTGCTCACTCCCTTCTCTCCATAATCTACTTTCTCTGGTCTTAAACCTTTCATGTATGCTTCACTGCTAGTTCATTATAATCCATCTTCAAGATGTGGTTTCAGGAAAAGGACATAGAATTTCCACTGTGAACCTCTATATATGTGAGTGTGGTTTTTTTTTTTTTTTTCTATGACCTTCACACAACTAGGACAAGTAGCCACATATCAAATTTTGGGGTATACATCTTCTACCCCTCCAAACTAAATACAGAATTTTTGGCAGTGTGGCAGAGTAGATCACCGGAGGGGCTTCCCAATGTGGAACAACATATTTTGCATTATTCCAAAGCTTTTGCATCGCTGGAATCCTAGAAAGTAAGGAAAACGACAAAGTACCTGAAAAACCAAAGCAAATTTTAAAAGTAAGCAAAAACCTGAGAGGTGAGACTGCTAACCACAGGAATGAAGGGTTTTCTCTGAGAAAGTACAGAGCAGGGTGGGGACGAGGTGTTGAAACTGAGATCCCAGATTAAGCCCTGATTTATGAAAGGAGCCCAGGTAGTCCTGGGTCAGTTACACCTCCTAGATCTCAGGAGACGCCAACACACAACCTCTCTGGAGGAAAGAAAATATACCCAATTTTGACTCTCAGTTTTCTAAAGAGTAAGACCAACCAGAATCTAAACTAAAACTTAAAGGACACAACCTACAACCCGTGACAGTCTGTAGAAATGACGCTTGGATTTAGAGCCCAAAGGACTTTCAGATATTAGAATCATCTATAAAAATATATAAAATAATGGTTTCTGAAACGTATAAAGCAATCAAAGATGGAATCACAAAAATAAGTGAGCAGAATCCAACTATCAGAAGTGTCCAGGAGGACTGTGAAGTTGTACTATAGTTTTGCATGATGTCACCTTGGGGACACTGGACAAATGACACATGGGATCCCTCTGTATTATTTTTTCTTATATTGTTTTTCTGAGGCCAGAAGTCTACACTTTTCTTGAGGCCAGAAGTCCAAAATCAAGATGTCAGCAGGGCCATGCTCTCTGATGGCTCTAGGGGAGACCTCTTCACTCTTAGAGCTCCTCTGATGGCTCAGGAGTCCTTGGCATTCCTTGGCTTATAGATGCGTCATGCCAATCACGTGACCATCCTTCCCCATTGTGTGCCTGTCTCTGTATCCAGATTCCCCTTTGTTGTTGTTTTTTCCTTAAGATTTTATTGATTTATTAGAGAGTGAGAGAGAACAAGCAGGGGGACCAGTAGTCAGAGGGAGAGGGAGAACCAGGCTCCCTGCTGAGCAGAGCCTGGACTGGATCCCAGGACTCGGGAATCATGACCTGAGCCCAAGGCAGACACTTAACCAACTAAGCCACCCAGGCGCCCCCAGATTCCCCTTTGTATAAGAATATCAGTCCACGGGCACCTGGGTGGCTCAGTCATTAAGCGTCTGCCTTCAGCTCAGGTCATGATCCCAGGGTCCTGGGATGGAGCCCTGTATCAGGCTCAGTAGAAAGCCTGCTTCTCTCTCACTGTGTCTCTGTCAAATAAATAAAATCTTAAAGAAAAAAAAAAAAAGAATATCAGTCCACTGGATCAGGGCTCATCTTAATCACCTCATCTTAACTTAGTTAAATCTACAAAGACTCTATTTCCAAATCCAGTGACATTCTGAGGTACTAGAGTTACGATGTCAACATATCTTTTCTTAGGGGATAGTACTCAGCTCACAACAGCCTCCTACAAAATAAACACTAAATTCAATGGGTTTTTACAGATTGGTTCCACAAAGCAGTTCTGGAATTAATCATTCCAAGGTTATACAGGTTGTGTATAACTACCCAAATGTCTCAGAAATCAATTCAACAGGGATACCGAAATCAGATGAGGACAGTACAAGATTGGGAAGTTGGAGATAAATCCTGAGTACTCAGGAACTCTAGCCACATGGAGCCATGCGGGCGAATCTTCGAAACTTAGTGTGGGGTGACAAAACCAAGTGGCAGAAGAACATAGCGTCAGCCATTTTTATAAAGTGAAGGAAAAAAAACACTGAAGAATATATTCTTCAGGGATAACTACCTACATAAACACGATGAAAAGGAAGGTGGGGGGGAAATATTTAATAGGGATCATTGTTGGACAGATGATTCTTTCTGACCTCAATATAATTAAAATATAAGTAAAAAATGAACTAAACCAGGGTGGGTCCAAAGTCAAATCCAGCAGTTCCCTCAGGGTGGGGGAGTCAGGAGAGGGGGGTGCGGCCAGGGGACTGCAGGAGGCGCGGCTGGTGGTGAGGAGCTGGTTCTCACGATGAATACTGAACTCCAGGGTGTGCTTGTTATCATCCTTTAGAGCTCGCACTTATGTAACCTATTCTTTCCCCTTTCTCTGTAAAATTCTAAAAATCTGTGGCTGTTCTGGAAGGTAGTGTGCTAAGGTCTGATGTACTTCTGTCACAGGTCACTGGGAAGCCTTCACATGCTTCTAGGATTTTTCTTTACTGTTACAATTTTAAAACTTTGTCAGGACTCATCCAGATGTAAATAAGTACATTCTTAGCAGTTCTAACAATCGGTCTGCGAGCATTTAATGGGCAACAGCCGTGCACTCCAGCTGAACAGCTGGAAAGGATCATATTCATGTGTTTTTGCCAAGGGCCTATGGAAGCGAGCACAGCTCTCTCCTTTCCTAAAAGGGCCAAAGGGGCACATTTTCATCCTCAGAGGGGAAAAAGGTAGGTTTCTAGTGAGGAAATTCAAAGTAACTACTGATAACATAGCTCCCTCTTGCCCCTTTCTTTCCATCTCTGCTAAGCCCTAGTCCCACCCTGGAGGAAGTCAATGCCTGGGCTCAGTCCTTCGACAAGGTAATGCTCACTCCAGCGGGAAGGAATGCTTTTCGGGAATTCCTCCGAACAGAGTTCAGTGAAGAAAATATGCTTTTCTGGATGGCGTGTGAGGAACTGAAAAAGGAAGCTAATAAAACGATCATTGAAGAGAAAGCAAGGATAATCTATGAAGACTACATTTCTATTCTTTCTCCGAAAGAGGTATGTACCCCCACAAAGGACTTCCTCCTGGGAGGCCCTTGGAAAATGAACACCGTCAGTGTAGGGTCACCGGGCACAGTGACAGCTGGTCCAAAACAAAGATGACTCCACCCACACTCATTCTATCCAGATGTCTTTGACCGTGGTCCCACACGCGGGCTCTCCGTGGGCCCTGAAATCTGTGAAAGACTTTGTGCCTCTTTCTGGAAAAAGTATTCCTGACTTTCACCAGATTCTCCAGAAGGGGGAGTCTATGCATTTTATTGTAAACACTGTTTAAAAACATTAAACCCTGTAAGCATTTCTTTAAAATTGTCCTTTTATTCTGAGCACCAATATTTTTTACAGGTATTTTTATTTGACTAGAAATAGCCTCACTAATATGAGAAAGAGCTTTTCCCTGAGGTGTCCTTCCCTTAGAGCAGAGAGACTGTCCGGGAGACATCAGTCAAGCTTCCATTCCCCCCAGTTTTTTTGTTCCTTCGTATCTAAAATCTGTGGGGTCAGGGTGATCTCAAAACCGAGCTCCTTCTTTCTTATTTCTTTTTTATTTTTTATTTATTTTTTTTTTTAAAGATTTTATTTATTCATCTGACAGATCACAAGTAGGCAGAGAGGCAGGCAGAGAGAGAGGGGTAAGCAGGCTCCCCGCTGAGCAGAGAGCCCAATGTGGGGCTCGATCCCAGGACCCTGAGATCATGACCTGAGCCGAAGGCAGAGGATTAACCCACTGAGCCACCCAGGTGCCCCTTATTTCTTTTTTAAAGATTTATTTATTTGAGAGAGATCATGTGAGTGAGTGGGAGGAGGGCCAGAGGGGGGCAGAGAGAGAGAATCTCCATCGGACTCCCTGCTAAGCATGGGTCATGATCTCACGACCCTGAGATCATGACCTGAGCGGAAACCAAGAATCAGAAGCTCAACCGACTGTGCCGAGGCAACCCTAGCTCCTTCTTTCTTAAAATTCCAAGTGGAACTCCAAATTCTTTATATTCTTGAGTGGAATAGTAAGGTAGACCAGGGGAATTCGTGGAAGCAGATCATAAAGGCCTCCTGACTGTAAACTTCGGACTTAGCCTGAGTGCCTGGCCAAGTCAATGCCGGGTCTGAAGTTGGAGTGTCAGAATGGGGTTTGCTTTAGAAGAAGGCCTCTGACCAAACAGTGGGGTGGTGTGGAGGGGCACTCGGGAGACAGGAGGCCAGTTAGGAGGCCAGTGAACCAATCCAGCAGGAAACGGTGAGTGACCTCCCCAAGGGTCTTGGCAGAGAAGAGGGACGAGGTAGACAGGTCTGAGAGGGTTTAAAGAGGCAGGGTGCCTGAGACTTTGTGACTAAACACAGAGCCAGAGTGAAAAGGATGAGAGGGACTTGAAATTGGAAATAAAACGTTCTCTTCCTCCACAAGCTATATAAGAAAGAGATCCAGAGATGCTGGCAATCTGCGTTGAATGCAGAGTTGGTCTTTGAAGAACACAGGGTTGGGGGCACTAACCCCACACAGTAGCTAACCTATGTGTAACTTTGACTCCCCAAAAAATTACCTACTAAGAGCCTACTGTTGACCAGAAGCCTTAGTGACAACACATACATACTTTGTATATGTATTCTATACTGTATTCTTCCATAAAGTTACAGAAAAGAAATTGTTACTCAGAAATCATAAGAGAAGAATATAATTCAAACCCATGTTGTTCGAGGTCAACTGTATTGAGCTACCTATGGGTGGGCACAAGGGGCTTTCCAGGAGGAAAGTGGGTATATGCATCTGGGAAGACAGATCACTGAAGTCAGTATTTACTGATTCAGCTAGTCAGATTTTCAGGTTCATACGAAAGAGGAGCATGTGCATTGTACAGCACTAAAACTACCATGGCCTCCTGGGGCAGAGTTGGTCCGGCCAAGGTCCTTCGCACGGAAGAGAAGATGTGTGAGCTTGGCTCTGCAGCCCGTAGGCATGTTTGTCTGGCATCCTATGGGGAGAGTATGAGCCCAGTAGCTTGCTCCGGTCTGAGACCGCCTTTTCTAGGATGAGAAAAACATCAGAGAAAGAAGAGCCAATGTCTCCTAAGGACTTAGTGCATTCCAAGCACCTTACATAAATTCTCATTAAATCCCCACCAATCACCATTATCCATCACCATTTTCCTCTTTATGGAGGAGTTCATTAAGGTGCAGCTTACTTTGTCCCAGGCCCCACAGATAAGCAGTGACACATAGCTGGGCTATAAACACTGGCCCGGTGCTCTCACCCCTTCCACAGCGCTCTGAGTTAGCATCCATTCACCAGCCAGCCTGATGCTCATTCCCAGAATCTGCAACTGTGTTCCACCTGGCCACAGCCTGGGACCTCCAGGGGTTAGACCTAATGTTATTAGGAAATTAGCAAGTCTGTTCTTCAGAGGACACAGTACAATCTATTTAAAGAAGGAAAACAATGTTGTGGTTTTCTAGAACAGTGTGATCCCACCAGCACTACCTAGAACTTGTGACAAATACACCTTTTCAGGCCCCTCCCCAGACCCACGGATTCAGAAGTTCTGCAGGTGGGGGCCAGTAATCGTTTAACAGCCACTCCAGGGGCTTCCGATGCTGCTAAAGCTTGAGAAGCCCCTGCATTATGTGTTCAGTTTCTTTTTCAGCAATTTAGATTTTTGGATGACTTTTTGTTTGATTTGGGATTTTTTTAAAAAACAGAACAAGTCATCGTGCGTTGGGGATGGATTTCCAAAGAGAAATATGTCTAATACCACTCTTATGTGTTTCTACTGACAGGTCAGTTTGGACTCCCGAGTAAGAGAAGTCATCAATAGGAATATGGTGGAGCCATCCCAACACATATTTGATGATGCACAACTCCAGATCTACACCTTAATGCACAGAGACTCCTATCCCCGGTTCATGAACTCTGCCCTTTATAAAGATCTGCTTCAGTCCTTAGCTGAGAAATCAGTTGAAGCATAGGATGTTATCAAATATATTTATTATTAATAAAATAATAAAAGAACTGATGGACTGCATCTAGTACAGGGAACTTATAGGTAGTAGTACCTTCTACTAGAGTAATACTTGGGCTGTTTTAATAAACAGATGCTTCCTTTTACAGAAGCCTATATATTCACAATGTAAACTGTCGCCACCTGTACTGATACTTTCAGGGGAAAAGTGGGGTATGGCCGTCTTAGAAAAAGATAGGATAGTTACATTTACGGTCACCGCAGCATGTCGTCAATGGCACAGAGATACTCTAGAAGACTCCTACTGCCTGGGGCACATGCGTCCCATTAGAGCCAAGAGGACTGCCTTTGTTTTGCATGAGTGCGGTATCTGATGACTCTCCTCCCAAGGGAAAGGCCTTCAAGTGTTTCTTAGCTACTCCTTCCTTCCGTCTGGCTGCTTTGAATATTTTGCTTCTCAGTGCCATCACAGAACCCAAATTCCCATTTTATAAAGATGTGTCACCACTACTTATAAAATGGAATTCCGCTTTTATCTTAGAATCTGTGTATGTGTGTGCACGTGTGTTTCTAACAGTTAATGAAAGTACTGTGCTCTTAAGTGGATCAGTCGCACCTGTTTGGTAAGAGAAATAGTGTTCAGAAAATGCATTTGTTGAAAAGTTACCATGATTTTATTATCAGAATCTGCCAACTTAGAGAATGAATTTTTAATTCGCAACTTAGTCCCATTCATAACCGAACTTTCAAATAAGTGTATTTCCATTTTTATTATTCAAAGAAATATGGGCATTTTCAGTCTAAAAAAATAAAGCACAAGAGTTTTATCTCCATTTTTATTCCACATGTTAAATACTGGGGACTCTAAGATGAAGTAAGTAGGGAGATCTGCAAGGTATCATTTAGCTACCAGGCGAGGATTCTGACTTTTTAAAAAATTTTTCTTGAAGATTTATTTATTTATTTGATAGAGGCACAGCAAGAGAGGGAACACAACCAGCAGGAGTGAGAGAAAAGTAGGCTTCCTACTAAGCAGGGAGCCCGATGCGGGACTCGATCCCAGGACCCTGGGATCATGACCTGAGCCAAAGGCAGATGCTTAACAACTGAGTCACCCAGGCATCCCAGGATTCCAATTTTTAGATCCCACTATTTATAATTGTAGGCACATGAAATAATTTTAACAACTTCCAGGTAAAACTAGTAGTTTGTATCCCTGAGTCATCCTGAAGAAACCCATCACTGCAGTGAATGGGAAAGACATCCAAAATCTGCAATGGTTTGAGTAGTGGCTTAGAAATTACATGCAAGGGGCCCATGGCAGGCTTCACCCCATGGGGGGGGGGGTCTTTCCTTCTTGTTACCCTCACCTGGCCTGACAATTTCTTCATTACTCTCTTCAAGCCACAGACTAAGCCCCTTGTCCTCAGTGAAACATCTTAACCTCCTACTTTATGGTGAAAGTGGGTCCCCACCCACTTCATCTTCCCATGTAACCTACAAATATGTCTGGACGGGCATCTGTTCTCACCTCCGCCAGTCCAGTGTCAGAGGATAATGGGCTCTTTTCTCCTTTTCAAGGCACCCTTACATGTGCCTTTAATGCCATAGTCTACAGCCTCATTTTTTCACTAGGCAGAGGTCATAACTGTGATTGGGGTTATAAACTCTGCCCTCTGGTTTACATGTAAGTAAGGATGATAGGTGTCCATGGCCGCTACGGTATACTGTAGCAAGTACTAGAACAGGGAGGAACTGAGAGAAGTCTTGAGGGTCTACAGAAGATTTTGGCAGAGGATGTGAGGGTGTGTGTGGGGGGGTGGGGGGGGCAGAGTTGTAGGGAAGGTATTTGTAATTGAAGCAACCCCATATGTCTAGTTGCAAACATGCAGTGTACGAAGTGACTGTTAAGACTGATAAAAGATGTCAAGACATCAGTTGGATGTCTCGACCTGGGTGGTTGAGATTTTAGGCTGGATTATTTGGGATTTTTCCACACAAATGAATAAGATTGCTAGAAGAGTTAGATATAAAAAGAGCTAAGGGTAAATCCTGGCATCAATGGACCAAGAAATAAGAGTTTCCAAAGAAAATTTAGAAGGATTTGCCTTCTCGGTTCCATTAAGAAAGTGGGGGATATGGCAGCAAAGGAACGGTTGGGGGCACTCCACTCCCTCTATTCCCTCATGCTCCTGTGTCCTCAGTCTGACCTTGAGATTTTCCCACACCACGTGGGTCCTTGGGTTCCCCAATTCGAAAGGAGCCTGTATAACATAACTGCTGACTCCCCTTCCTTTCCCATTAGACTCGGCACTCCCACTGTCTCCCTTTGCTCATCTCTGCATGTGCTTCTTGTACCTCCGCAGCGCACGCACCCACGTGGCGGGATCTGCACCAGCCCAGCCTGACACCACCGCACTCCCAGTTGACTGCCCAGCTCCCTGACACTGCCCGTGCCTCACTGGAAACACAACTTCCTTGTCTTCTGTGAGGCTTTTGCGCGCTCTGTGTCGTGTCATGTCCTCTTCTCCCTCCACTCCCTTCCCAGCCAGCGGGGGGCACAGCTGCGAAGGGTTTGGGCTCTGGGGCCAGAATGACTGCTGCTCACTGCTTGATGGTGGGTACGTAGTCTTTCTGGGCCTCTTTCCTCGCCTATACAAACGGGGATAATAATGGTACCTTATCCCTAGCATTGCTGTTTAGATTTTTTCCCCCAAAGGAGACAGAAGTTTACCGAATATAGTGGAAGCGAGCTGCAGGCCTGACATCGAAGGAGACTGTAGGCTTGCTGTGCAGATTCAAACCAACCCAGGTGGGGGTGCCTGGCTGGCTCAGTCAGTAGTGTACAGGATTCTTGATCTCAGGGCTGTGAGTTCCAGCCACGTGTTGGGTGTAGAGATTATTTAAAATCTTTAGGGGCGCCTGGGTGGCTCAGTCAGTTAAGCATCTGCCTTGGGCTCAGGTCATGATCTCTAGGTCCTGGGACAACCCTAAATGGAGCTCCCTGCTCAACCAGGAGTCTGCTTCTCCCTCTCCCACTCCCCGCCTCTCCTCCTCCCAATTGTGCACTCCTTGCTCTCTCCCAAATAAAATCTTTAAAAAATAATAATAAAAATGAAATGTTTTTTTAAAGACAAAAAAAACCACAAAAACCTAACCCATCTAAAATATATTAAGCAGTCACTGGATGTTAGTTATTGCTGTTATTGTCTACTAAATGCCATGGCCTCCAAGAATTAGGTTTTGGCTTACTTTTCTTGCTAATCTATATGGTTCCCCTTCTCATTGTTTAAATTACCGCCAACATGTTCATGGCTACCAGATAAGGACCTGGTGTAGACTTCCTCAAGCTCTTCATAATCAGCTGCCTGTTGGACATCTCCCTTTGCATATCCCACAGAGAAGTGAAATTCATCTTAATTCTGACTTGTCATCCTGCTGCCCCCCCTCCCTCCAAGCCTCACCTCTGCCTATCTCCCCAATTACCCAGCCAGTCACCTAAGCTCTTCTCTAAGTGCTAATTTCTCCCTTGTTTCTCCTTGCACAGTCACCAAGCCCTGCTGATCTTAACTCCAAAATATTTCTCATGTGTCTCTTCTGATCCCCATTACCTCACATCTGCCAGTAAGTAGCATTGCCAAGAGCCTCATAAGTGGTCTCCCTGCCCCTATCTCAGCCTTTCAAAGCCACCTTTCAAAATGCCACAAGGTGACCTTTCTCACACATAAATCTGCCCGTCACCCTCCCTCTGCTCCTTAGAATCTTCAGTTAATTCCCGACTGCCCAGAGTACCAATACCAAATTTCCGGTATGAGATACAAGCAAGGACCTCTATATATAGTTGGGTTATGCGTCCTTGCCAACTCTCCACATATACTCTAGAATATATACTTATAGACAAGTATATCCTTTCATAACTGCTCATACTTTCTGCTGCCCCCACCCTTCTCTACAATGCCACCCTTCACTCAGTGAACTTTTTTTTTTTTGAACTGTCATACTTTTAAGATTTACCTCACACATCACTGCCCAAAGGAAACCTTACCTGACCTCTTGATTCATACTTCCATTTGGTGCCATTCTTTAGTATTCTGGGATTTTCCTGTTATCATCTGAGTTTACCAATTATGTTGGTGTATCTGTCTTTCCCATTAGACTATAAGCTCCAGAGGCACTGAAAATATACTTTACCCTATATCTAGTTAAAAACAGTATTCAATAAATGTTTGTAGAACTGGAGAGTACAGCATGAAACTGAAATTCCCATAGTTATAGAACAAAAATTCCTTGCCAAATTTATTTCACAATGTGTCACATCTCAGAAAGAGATTGTCACAGTCCATGTGGCTATAGAGCTCACTACAAACCAATCTGGTGGGTAATCGCTAGTGACATCTATGTATATGAAAGAATCCTGGAGCAGTCCCAAAAGGACCATACAAATTCAATGTAATTCTAAGGTTTTTAAGAATTCTTAAGTAAACTTTGAAGGGATTATTTTGTTGGGATAGACGACGCTCCATTTGGGAAAAAATGGATATATAAACAAATATAAGTTCCAAACTGTTTAAAGATCTAAAATTTTTTAAAAAAGAGAACATTATTAGAATATTGGAAGAAAACATAGGCCATACTTTTGTAACTCAGATGGAAAAGGTCCTCCTCAGCAAAACATAAAACCCAGAAACCATGAAATACTAATAGATTGGATTGTATGAAAAAACAAATTAAATTCTGTGCCACAAAGACAACATAAAAAGAATTAAAACACAAATATCATGGGGCGCCTGGGTGGCTCAGTGGGTTAAAGCCTCTGCTTCGGCTCAGGTCATGATCCCAGGGTCCTGGCATCAAGCCCCACATCAGGCTCTCTGCTCAGCAGGAAGCCTGCTTTCTCCTCTCTCTGCCTGCTTCTCTGCCTACTTGTGATCTCTGTCAGATAAATAAATAAAATCTTAAAAAAAAAATCACAAATATCAGGCTATAAAACACTAAAGACTACTATGCAGAATGCATTAGGAGTACCTACAAACTAACAAGACAACTCTATAGATTAAAAAGGAAAGACACAATAAAAACAGAACAAACATAATAAATCAACTGGCTATAAACAAGAAAAGATGAGGATAATAAATACAAAAAGATAATCCTATGAATTCGAATTAAAATGAGAGCATACTGGTTACTATTTCCTCCCTAGATTTGCCCAAACCATAAGGTTCAATACCCAGTATTATTAGCAAAGGTGTCAGGAAATGGGCCTTTATATGCTGTTGACAGGTAGATAAACTAGTTTGACTTTTTGGAAAGC